AATTAAACGCCCCTTTCTGCTGATTGGTCAGCCGAAGATCAAACCGTGCCTTCATCAGTTCTTCTGCAGCAAAATAATAGTCCTCCACTGCTGCAGTTGTATGGATTCTTAACGCATTTATTGCAACTACATTTAATCTTTTTTTCATCAAACAAACAGGCTAATGAATAGCTCGACACAACTCGTACCAGGGCATTGTCTAGACAGGGCTTTCTTCTGTGTAGATATAAATTATATTCTTTGCATCAGCTGAGCATCTTTCTGGTGCATGCCACAAACATGAACCACAGGGAATACTCGTCTTTTAAAAGGCTTCATTTAGATTATTTTACATTAAATGCATCATATAAGTCACTTTGGAATAAATCACAGTAGGCCTATGTATCATGATTAAAAAAAACGACTTTACAGTCTGGAAATACTTTAGGCTATAGCAATATTAAGGCTATATTATTTCATTTATTCATCTATTATTACCCCTATCACTTTAAAGGGGTCCTATTATGTTTTTTCACTTTTTTAATTTTAGTCAGTGTGTAGTGTGTATGTTTGGGCATAAAAAAGATCTAGAATAGCTGGGCGCCGCCGGTGTGCCTACACTCATAGAAAATAATGCATTTGAATTTTAAAGCCGTGGCTCGACGCTGCGCTTCTCGTCCGGTGTGCGACCGCCTGAAACGCTGTTTTTTTCACCTTTGTGCCCGTTTGGGCTTCCGAAAGCGGATGATGTCAGGAAACAGTGGTTGCAATTTACTTTTTAACTCTGTTCCTGAGCATTATAACCCCAATTTGCTATTGTGTGCTGCGCACTTTACTGAGGACACAACACGAGTGAGAAGTGCCGGATTCGCCAAAAGCTTTTGTTGAAAGACGGAGCAAGGGGCGTGGCAGTACTGAAACACTAAGCTGTTCGCCAATCACAACGCACTGGGACAGCTAACCAGTCACAACACATTTTGTTTTTCGGAAGGCGGACCTTCATCAAAGCCGGAACTAATCTAGCCGTTTGTTCCAGCCTGGGGAGAAAGGTATTTTAATAATGTAAATTATGTGAAAAATAATGCGTTTTTCGAACCACCAAGGATGAGAGCATGTTCTAGTACACCCCCAAAGCAAAATCAAGACTTTGTAAAAGAGCATAATAGGACCCCTTTAAGAACTGCTGGTCTACACTGAAGAAAGACCTGTCTAGATTCTGCCCCGGTACGAGTTGTGTTGAGCTATTCATTAGTCTGTTTGATGAGAAAAATATGAAATTGATAAAATGGGTTAAGAATCCGTACAACTGCAGCAGCGGAGGACTATTATTCTGCTGCGTGATACTGCAGAAGAACTGATGAAGGCACGGTTTGATCTTCGGCTGACCAGTCAGCAGAAAGGGGCGTTTAATTCCCGCCCACGTGTAGAAATCGAATATTCAAGCTGTTTATTCATTTTTCCACCCATGAACGAAAAACGTAAATTTAAGCTGAATTCTCGTTTTTCGTTTTTTGGAAAAAAAAAAAAAAAACATGAAAAAGGAGCCATTTTCTAATTTTTCTACTTTCAATATTAAATAAAAAAATTAATGATCGAATGATACACGGATTGTCTTCTGCCTTCCGGTTTGCATTTCCACAGGTGAAGGTAAGGTCTTATGAATTTTTGAAATAAAACTTCCCGGTCTATTGACGTTTGTTATGACATCCTCTTTAAACATTACAATACACAATACAACTTTCCTTAACTGTACTATATATATATATATAATACACACACACACAAAGGTTTTATTATTCATGTAACATTCTGACAATTTTTTATTTATTAAAAGAAATACATTAAAGGGGTCATATGATGTTGCTAAAAAGAACATTATTTGGTGTAATGAAATGTTTATGCGGTTTAAGGTTAAAAAAACACATAATTTTTCACATACTGTACATTATTGTTTCTCCTCTATGCCCCGCCTTTCTGAAACGTGTCGATTTTTACAAAGCTCATCGTTCTGAAAAAGCGAAACAGTCCTCCATAAAATGTGCTGCACACATCTGAATATTTGGGTTGAACTGTTCTGGAACAGTGTTGTAAATACAACTCAACCACTGATTTCTAGTCGTGTCCTCTTTTGGAAGGCCAAACAAAGTAGTTTCGCTTTCACAATGAAACACACAGCGTCACACACAGCGGGCTAGAGTGAGCAGAGGACGTAGGGCTTGAGAACGGCGGGTTCAGCGGGCTTGCGGCAACCACATGTATGTATTTTGTTTTATTTTAATTGTCTTTTACTGTTTTACCATTGTCCCAGACTTTCAATCTTAAACTATAAAAATACATCATAAAAAATATGTTTACTTGGGTAAAACTAAGCTAATCAATCAATCAATCAATTACATTTTTATTGTGTAAAAGTTATTTCTTATTCCTTTTCTCTAAATAAAAAAAAACAATGCAACATAATTTTTTTGCATCATTTTAACAATATAGATGACTTTACAGTGCTCTATATTTATTGAATCTATTGTGTGCAAATATAGAATAAACACATGAAGTACTTGATTCTCATTTAGCAGTTTTTTATCAGAGTTCATGAAATTTTTACCATGAACATGGTGACATTTTGTTTATTTCATAGAATATTTCTGTCACTTGTCATTTCTTGAGATCCATGTCATGTTGTCATACACTGTAATTATAACCAATAATGTCTCTTTATTTTGGATTATTAATATTTTCTGATAGTCTATTTCAGTAGAATATAGAAATTAATTTCAGTGTAAAGATAGTCAGAAAGTCAAATTTTTCTCTTAATGGTGCAAAAAATTTAACAAAATATTTTCAAGTGCAATGAATCAGTCAGTGAAGTTCAGATCAACTGTATTTACATTAATAGAGATATCCATTCCATCGTGTTATAACATATGTAGTGATCTTAACAATTATTTTGTCTTTCCAGGAATCAGTTAAGACTCTGTTAAGTCTGTAGTTTAGGGGATTTCAGATGAAGCCGCTCTGCATCTTAAAGCATACCATATAACTTCAGTTCATTGACGAGTATGGTTCTCTTGACATCACTGAAGACCTTGCGGATGTTATCGGTGTCGGTTGCACAGGTAAAGTGTTGGTAAATGCATTTCTGTTCTCGATTTTCGCGGTTTAAAGCTTGTTCGAGGTACAGGGCACTGATGTAGTCCATCGCTTCATTCTTGTCTTCCTTTTTGCCTGGCATCATTATAGGGTGGAGTTGGAAAACATTTAGATAAAAAAGACAAAAAAAAAAAGAAATAGAAAATTTAATCAAAAGGATAGAAAAGGGGAAAAAAAATAAATACATTTCACCACAGAAAACCAGTTTACTGATGCTAAAGTTAGAGGCACTTTCCATGTATACGGTACAATTAGTTTTTTCAAAGCATTAGAGAAAAAATACAAATGTTTGAGAACTATTAGATATGTTACTTATAAACTATTGTGTTTTTTTAGGAGCTCTTGGTACAAACTTACATACATACATATATGACACTGAGAACAGAAAGAACATTTAAATAAGTAAGACTAAGGGGATAAAAACTAAAAATAAATAATAATAATAATAATAATAATAACAGCATGCAGAGGTGAAATAATCTCATTACATTTTCTCAATTCTTATACAAATTGTATTGTTAACTGCATCCATCAAGCGCAACCTTCAACCCTGTTACCCATTCTATTGTAAAAAATCAAATAATCAAGCAAATAGTTTTCTTAGATTTATGGGAAATCTGTTTTCATTTCATGTTCATGTTATGTTTTTTAGTAAGAAAATAACAAAAGTAAATTGTATTTATATTCTACTTAGAAAGAATTTAACGGTAACAGGGTTGCAACAATTGCAAAATCACATGAATCGAATGAAATATCAAAATGAACAGAAAACAAAAAAATTCACAATCATTTCAATATTTTCTAAAGATTATCTGCCTCTTTTCATCGACCATTTGTTTAGATAACCTTGTAATTAGTATTTTTGTACATTATTCATGGAAAGTGCCTTATATCTATGTGTAGTTGATGCTGGTGATGTTTATAAATATAAAGGCCTCAAGTAAAATTTCCAGTTTTAAACATATTACAAAACAAATGTAATCTTTCCTGACCGATTCACAGTGAGCACACTAGTATTAGAAATGATGTAAAAGCGTCTCATTTTAATTACAGCAGATGGATTGGATCAGTTTAAATGCTTAACAATTTAACAGATAACCCGAGTTTTGTATGAATTGATACTAAATTGATCTATAAATATGCAGTGTGTATTAACTAATAAGAGTTTTATGGTTAAAGGTACTATTACACTTGTTATACACAACAAACAGACCATCAGAACTACCAGAAGAACTATACTTTTATATATATCAAACATATAGACATCGTACTGTATATATAAACAAATTCATACATTTGACATGAAAGTAACAGTATAATCTCCATTTTGAGCAAATATATAAGAATATGTTGCTCTAAAATAGTATGCTTTGTAATGAAAATTGTTTTAGATTACGAAAATAAGTGACATTTCTCTGTAAACATTTTTAATTTAAGAGCCAAACATTTCTGTAACCATTTGGCTTTTGTTTGTGTTACATAAAAAAACTACTCCACGTTACAGAAAGGAAATTATGAAAGCCTGATTCTGCCACAGAATAAAAAAACATTTTATCACACAATTCAGACTTTATTTCTCACTATTGTGATATAGATATATATAAATTTGCAATTCTAAGACAAAATGTATTCTGACTTTATTTCTCGAGTTTACATCCCACATTTCAGATTTATTTCTCTGAGCTCTGAGTTTACATCTCATAATTTTGTTTGTTTTTACTTTCCACCAGCAAGCAATTGCAAGTTAATATCTCGCAGTAGCAGACTTTATCTTACCGTTTCAGACCTTTCTTCTCAGAATTGCGAGTTTATATCTCACGATTAATTCAGAATTGTGAGAAAAAAAATATTGAATTGTGAGACAATAGGTTATCTTTATTTATTTTTCTTTTTATTCTGTGGCAGAAACAGTCTTCCATATAACTTTCTGCACCTATTTCAAAGGAAACTCTCCACCCTCTTGCTCTAAGTAATCAGTAAAGTCAAATATTTGGGCAAGACATTGAGCATGTGCCCCAGTACAGATCAGCCAAACGCTGCTTTGTAGTTCTCAGGTCATTCTTGCCAGCAGCTATAGAGTAAAATTTCTGCCACCCCCTCGAAACCAAAACACGCTGAAAATCTGCCTGTTGTATAGCATTCCTGTCAAAGTCTGAGGTGTGATATGACAGCTTCCTCATTGATGTCTGATGTTAAGTCGATGTCTGGCAATGTTCAAATGATTTAATTTGGAGAATGTGTCATGCCGTAAGAATCTGATGTTTTTATCCACCACAAGTAGGAAAATAGGAATAGATGGAGCAATAGACAGAGAAATGGAAGGCTGTATAGAGGTGTGCGTCCCTCCAAGGTCAGTTTATTAGGTTGGCAGAAGCAGGCCGTATCCTGAAAGAAATGGGCTGCTCAGAGCACTCCGTATTCCTGCAGAGACTTGATAAGGACAGTGTCTTTCACGTCATTGAAAACCTTCCGGATGTTATTGGTGTCTGTGGCGCAGGTGAAGTGAGGGTAGATGTTTTTGCATTCCTTTGTCTCAGCACTCACAGCTCTCTGTTTATACATATTGTGGATGAACATCATGGCGTCTTGCACATCCCGTCGTTTCCCTGAGGGTGGCACCAAACCACAGAGAAGGGGAGGAGTTAGTCCAAGCTTGGAAGGTAAGAGCGATTAAACTGGGAGCACCACATGCTAATTATAGAGGCAGGAACAATAAAGGCGAGAGAAAGAATCTAAGCAAACATTTAAAAAATCACTATTGTTAAGATCTTCTCCTTTATAATTAATATTTAACCAATTTTGGAGTCAGTAGCGTTCAAAGTGCGTAGCCGTTTCAATGTTGTGTTAAAGGGACAGATCACTCAAAAATGACTGGCATCTTATACTGACCCCGTCTTGACTTTCGTAAAACACAAATGGAGATATTTAGGAGATTGTTCACGAAACTCTTTTCCATTCAAGGCTGGGTTTATTTAATCAAAAATAGCCTGATTATTTCTGCATTTATTTGTTCAGTAAAACATTATTGCAATTTAAAATAGCAGCCATTATTCAGGTTCTTTTAAGTGTCACATGATCCTTCAGAAATCATTCTAATGCTGATTTGCTTTACATTTCTTATTATTATCAATGACGAACACAGTCGTGCTGCTTAATATTTTTGTGGAAACTGTGATACATTTTTATCAAGATTTTGTGATGAATAGAAAGTTCAAAAGAACAGCATTTATTTGAAATAGAAATCTTTTGGAACATTATAAATATCTTTGTTATCAATTAGAAACAATTTAATGCATCCTTGTTGAATAGAAGTGTTAACTACTAATTATTATATATATATATTTCATACTTTTGAATGGTAACGCTGAAAACTCAATGGTTGTTGAAAATTCAGCTTTGCCATCACCAGAATAAGCAGGTCTTTTAAATTGTAATACGATTTCAACATTTTCCTGTTTTACTGTATTATTCATCAAATTAAAAAAAATGCAGCCTTGGTGAACATAAGAGATTCTTTCAAAAACATTATTTTCCTAAAAGATTTAATAAAATGATTTCTATTTTTAATAAATGCTGTTCTTTTGAGCTTTCTATTCACCAAAGAATCCTGAAAAAATGTATTATGGTTTCCACAAAAATATTAAACTGCAAAAACTTGTTTCAACATTGATATTAATAAGAACCATTATTAATCATTGAGCACCAATAATATTGATAATGATTAAGCAGCAAATCAGCATATTAGAATGATTTCTAAAAGATCTTGTGACACTGAAGACTGGAGTAATGGAGTAATGAAACATTCAGGTCAATTATATTTTATAATATATTACAATAGACCTTTTTAGGTGTCCTGTCTCTTTAAATTTAACTATAACAGTTAGGCTTTTATAAGGCAAATTTTAAAAATTTAAAATTTTTTATAGCAGTTATCTTTAAATCTCAAAGATGGAGCTACTGTAAATGCATGGAATTAGCTATTTTTGGTTGCTGTTGGTAACGGGGGTAGAGGGCGAGAGATCTAAAGCAATCAAACTGCCACATATACTGCTTCCATATCAGCAATAAGAAACTAATATCTGTCCTACACCATCTGCTGTGAAGCAAAACCTGTTCCGACTGCATTGTCAATTCCGTTTCCTAGACAGCCTGATATTCTCATCCCATAATATTTCTTTTTAAGGGGCAGGACAGGTTGGGGTTGATTTACTGAATTGTTGGTACACAAATACTTATTTCCATACCGTCAAACCCTGCGAAGTAAGTTTTTAGGTCTGACGACTTGATCTTTTCCTCCAGGATGTCCATCTTGTTTAGGAAGAGGATGATGGAGGCACTGGCGAACCATGGCGAGTGGATGGTGGTGTAGAAGAGTGACAAGCTCTCTTTCATGCGGTTCTGGAGCCAGAGACAGCAAGCATTCACAGCAGAAGTTAATTAAATGAGAGAGACACTAGGTGCAAGAGAGATTACGCAATTTATCAGTGCAGCGTTTCAGCGAAGGTGCACACAAACGTGAACCAATAGAACGTGAATCTGTCAAGAAATGTCTGTGTCATGTTTTATCTTAATGACAAAAAATAAATGTTTTTGCATAAATAAAATGAAGCATATTTTAAGACAATTGTATTGTCTTGTATTGTGGCAATATTTTCCTGACAATTAAAACATGTCAGCAGTTTACTGTAATATGAAAAAATATATATTTTTCATTACTATAATGCAAATTCATATGTCACTGGGGTATATTTGTAGCAATAGCTAAAAATACATTGTATGGGTCAAAGTTATTAGAAACTAAAATCATTAGGATATGCAAATTCATATGTCACTGATGAAGATATTTTGTAAATTTCCTACTGTAAATATATTCAAACTTAATTTTTGATTAGTAATATGCATGGCTAAGAACTTCATTTGGACAACTTTAAAAGCGATTTTCTCAATATTTTGATTTTTTTGCCCCCTCAGATTCCAGATTTTCAAATAGTTGTATCTCGGCCAAATATTGTCCTATCATAACAAACCATACATCAATGGAAAGCTTATTTATTCAGCTTTCAAATTTCGAAAAATTTACCCTTATGACTGGTTTTGTGGTCCAGGGTCACATGTAATGCAAAAAATATTAAAATTGTGTTTGTAACATGTTGGTATTTTTTATTTAATTAGTACTCACGTAATTTGTATTAATGTAATAATTCAAATAAATAATTAATTTGTGATATGTGGTTTAAATTACATGTATCCATGCTAATATTATACAGAATTTTAATCTATGTTTATCATGTAAATATTTCCAATGTTTTTCCTTACTGAACAAGCATTATTTTAGTATTAATTACATACTACTATATTATTAAAATCTTGAATGATTTCATTGTGACTTCATTGTTTCCATTTTAATTTTTTAATTATTTTAAGTAATTTTGTTATTCTTAGTAATTTGCATTCATTTTTCATATATATATATATATATATATATATATATATATATATATATATATATGTTTATTTACATATTTATTTTATATATATATATATATATATATATATATATATATATATATATATATGTGCAGCTTTTGTTTCAGTAATTCAAATTATACTTCTAATTTCTCATTTTCATTAAAGTTTTCATGTAATGTTTATAGTTTTATTATTAGTATAGTATTTATTTTCAGTAAATAAGTTATATTTTATATTAGTATTATTTTATTTTTCATTTTAATTAATGTTTAGTTAGCAATTATTAGTTTTAGTTAACAACAACAAAAGTAATTAATTACATAATTTTCACAATATTGGGCTTTATATCTTTATGCAAATTAGAAATATGCACATTTCTTTTTGTCTTTGAGTTGCATTGAAATATGACTCAGGACTGTTATACTGATCAAAGCAATTGATTAGTACAAGAGAGATTCAGGCAGACTGGGGTGAAGGAGTCGCTTACCTCCTTGTTATTCTCCTCCAGCACCTGGTCGTACTCACTGAGGGAGGCTAAAAATATGAGCGATGTCACATTCTCAAAGCAGTGGATCCATTTCCGCCTCTCTGACTTCTGGCCACCCACATCCACAATCCTTCAGAAAAAAAGTGGTAAGACCATTTGATTAAATTCTGTTGTTTATTCTTGAAACTTTCTGTCTAAATCAAAAATATTAAACATTAACTGTCAGCCCCTATCATTTGTTCCTACTTCCTTGCTGTTATATATCAAACATGTCTGCCTCCAAATATAGTAGATTGCATCAAGTAATTGACTCGCATCATCTTGTAACTGGTTTCTTTATAAAAATTCTAATATTTGTTTTACATTTTCTGAAAAATATATGAGTGCAAGCAAGGCTAGGAAGTTTGTCCAAGTGTTGCTATATACACTCTTAAAAATAAAGGTGCTTCACGATGCCATAGAAGAACCTTTTTGTCTAAATGGTTCCATAGAGAACCTTTAACATCTAAAGAAGCTTTCTGTTTCACAAAAGGTTCTTTGTGGCGAAAGAAGGTTCTTCAGATTATAAAAAGGTAAGAAAGAGATGGTTCTTTAAAGAACCTTTGACTGAATGGTTCTTTGTGGAACCAAAAATGGTTCTTCTATGGCATCGCTTGAAGAACCTTTTGAAGCACCTTTATTTTTAAGAGTGTAGTTGCTAAGGTGTTAATAGTGATTTTTAGCACAATGCTACGCTGTTGCCAGAGGCGGACAAAGTACTCAACTCCATTACTTGAGTGAAAGTACAGATACCGCTGGTCAAATATTACTCCATTACAAGTAAAAGTTGTAAAGACAGATTTTTACTTAAGTAAAAGTACAGAAGTACTTGCTTTTAAAAGTACTTAAGTACCAAAAGTAAATTTCCTTTTTTATGTCAATGCACTGTTTTATTGTTGTTCGTAATACTTGCAATACTTCTGAAGCAACTTAGAATACATTACACCTACTGAATACACTGTCTAGCTTGTAGTACCTTTGGAATAAAGAGCTTTTAGAATGTTAAAAACCTATGGGGAAAAAAATAAACAAAACAACAAAAAAATATTTAACACCCCTACCCACCCCCACAAAAGCAGGATGGTAGTGCTCTCACACAGCTCTGACAGTGTGTGCACATCTATGTGTAGCCATTCATCCACATTTGAACAGAGTGGACAGTGAAATCCTGTAAATACAGAGTGATAAGGAAGAAAAAAAATAAAACCTGCTTTAAATCCCAGCAACACAACTGTAGCTGTACAACTTTACAACAGCAACACTGCTTTAACAAAAAA